GAGCGTGGAAGAGAAAGGGGGAGGAAGCTGCAAATCCCCACGTAATTCAAAGGCTGGGTTGGGGGGGCGGGATTTGTACAGACCATCCCAGTTGGTTTCTGGGTGGGCTGCGGGCGCGGGGCGTGTGTCCTTGCAGGGCTGGTCGTGACATCCGAGCTCCTGCCCACGGAGGTGAGGCCGGGTGACAAAAGCGATGCGTTCCGGTGAACGCCAAGGGATGAAATAAGTTCGACGTTTTCTGGGTGACTGAAATTCTATCTAACGCACCTCGTGGGTTAAAACAGATAAACAAAAAAACCCCATGCAAACAAACGAAACCCTGCTGTAAGATTTTGTAGCTGTCAGTGTTGTGTGCTTGCAAGGTGGGAAAACTGCAGAAAGTACACAATCTGATTGATACAATTTTAAAAAGCCACATTTCTCCCATTTTCTGAAGAGAGACAAAAACCTATTACCACAGTGTTATTATTCTTCAGAGCTTAAGTTAAACAATATAACCAGAAAAAAAATTGTCCCTTATTTCCTTATCATTTCTAAAGACTTTATTCTAATTCTGTGTGGTGTTTCTGAAAGGTGTTTATTTTCATCAGTGCTAATAAATAAAGAAAACGAAATGACAGACTGTCATTTGACTGATCTGTTGATGGTGCATGAGGAAAACAAAATTCTCATTCTGAATCCTAAAGATGGTGTATGAAGCAGTAGCAGAATAATTTTTCTGCTTCTCTTTACTCATGAGTTTTATAGCTGGGAATGCCAGTAAAGAAATCTTCACATGAAAATAGCAGAGCACTGTGAGAACGGAAATTCAATATGAAGATGTCCTCAGCCTTGAGTCAGTTTTCTAATCAGAAATGTGTATGGAATCACTGGACTTAGTTGAGTGATATAGCTCACTTTTATCAAGCCATATGGGAAGAGAAGTGAACTCCAGTCTCTGTGCTACATGTTAAAGCCTAAAATGTGTCTAGGAACTGGGCATGAGTAACATGAGCTGGCTTTTGTCTACCTTTTCAAATAAATTTAGATTCGATTTAAGTACTTTTCAATGTTGATAAATCTGTGTTTGCTTTCTTGCGTGGTGTGATAATGCTTATTCTACAAGACTGCATCAATTGATTGTGACAAGTTTCATCATTTTTAAAAAGCTTGTAGGATATATTTAACAATCTGAGGTTTGCAAGTTGAAGTTGAATCTCAGGATCCCCACTATGTTGACATTAAAAAGTATGTTTGCTACCTAAAGTATAGATTCCTCTTATTATGGGTGTTCTTAATCACATGATCAGATAATACCTTTTCTCCCTGAAGAACTGGTGCTTCGGTGGTGGCAGAAGTTGATTACAAGTTGAAGTTGAATCTCAGGATCCCCACTATGTTGACATTAAAAAGTATGTTTGCTACCTAAAGTATAGATTCCTCTTATTATGGGTGTTCTTAATCACATGATCAGATAATACCTTTTCTCCCTGAAAACTGGTGCTTCGGTGGTGGCAGAACTTGATTACACAAGAAAATAGAACTCAGGTGACACAAGCACCTGTAAATCTGGTGTCTTTTTCAGTTTCAGAAGCTTGGTTTTTCAACAGAAATTATATTGTTCTTCAGGATTTTCTTTAATATGATTAAGGTAGGCTTCGTATGCTGTTTTATTTCAGTCTGGAGTGAGATGCGTAAGGAATTTCCTATAATACAGAGGGTACCAAAGGACACTTTCACTTTGTACTCTATTACTATATTTCTGTCACTATATTGGTTCCTGTTCTGCAGCTTTCATAGTTCCTCAAAACTGATGCCTGTTTGCCATCTGCAACAAAGGAGGTATTAGTATCAGGATTAAAATGTACTGGAAGAAGTCCATATATAACAAAGGAAGAGTGGAAAGAATTTTCCTGTTATCTCAGTTTACTTTAATTTTTGATATTTGAACAAAGCCAAATCTAGTATGTACTTCAAAGAACAAATAGAAGATGTGAAGTTGTACCTTCAGTTACAGAGAGGTACTTTCCTTTTTTTGCCGCAAATCACAGAATTGCAGAATGGTTGTAGTTGGCAGGGATATCTCTGGAGGTCATCTTGTCCAGCTCCCCAAAATCATCATTGATTTAGCAATATTTGCTATGAAGATTGGTGTAATATCTGTTACTCATGTGTTAGCATTTTTCATCTTTCTTACTATCTAGATACTGTATATGCAAATTTAAAAGCATTGTGTGATTCAGCAATGTAGTTTCCGTTTAGCAGTTTACAGTGCTTTTAGATGAACTGATATGGATGCTGTTGTTGTGAAGGAGCCTTATCATTCTACATTTGTCGGCTAGGGAAAATTTTGACATAGATATGAGTCTTTAAGGTCTGAGAACCAAGAAGAAAAGGAAGACCCAAACTGCATTTTGAAGCAGTTTTGGTATCTAGATTTCTTTTTACCTTTGTAAAAGTTTTTTCTTATTGCTCTGTTACAGCTTAAGAACAGTGAAGGTAGTAGAAGTTATTTACTCAGCTTGTAACAAATCTCTGTCTTATGTGGGGATCTGATGATGAGTTCTTAGTTTTCTCACAGTCTTAAAAACTTCTAAAATACAAGCTATATCCTCCATCTTCAACATGTGTTGCTCTTCTCCAAGGCTGTTGAAGACAATGAGAAGGAGGGAAGGGGGAGGAACAGAATAAATTTTTTTGGTTATTCTTCCG